TATCCTTAGAGGGGAAGGGAAGGAGAGAGGGAGAGAAATATCAATGTATGGTTGCCTCTCATGAGTCCCCTGTTGGGAACTGGCCTGCAACCCAGGATCGTGCCCTGACTGGGAATCAAACCGCAATTGTATGGTTTGCAGGCCCAAGCTCAATCCGCTGAGCTACACCAGCCAAGGCTTCCTTCCCAGCATTCTTAAAGTGGCAGAGACCAGTAGGCTTCATTGAGAGAAAAAGGAGAAGGGAACGGTCATTAATACGAGGTTCCTGAGAAATGGCACAGGCTGGGTCCTTTCACTGTCATTAGGATGCTAGAGCTACCAGAAAAGAAAAGTAACAGAAGTTGGGGGCAGGACAGGATAAAACTATTCTAGAAACAGATACAAGGTTAAGAAAAATTGAAACTTACAAGTAAATTAACAGAAAATTAAGGGGAAAGGAAAAATAAAATATTTTCAATATGGTGAAACAAATGACGACTTAAAAAACCACAGTAGTCAGATTTAAGTTAAAGTATAGAAATAGTAAAAGAATAAATTATATCTGTGGGAGTGGGTGAAGGGATGGAAGCTGGACATTTGAGTCCAGTGGGTGAACCTTAAAAGTAAAATAGGGCCCTGACCAGTGTGGCTCAGCTAGGTGGTGTCATCCTGCAAAGCAGAAGTTCTCTGGTTCCGTCCCCAGTCAGGGCACATAAGTGGGCCAACTGATCGAAGCTCTTTTCTCATGAAGGATGTATCTCTCTCTCTCTCTCTCTCTCCCTCTCCTTCTCCCTCTCCCTCTTTCTCCCTCCCTTCCCTTCTCTCTAAAAATAAATTAAATCAAATTAGGAAGTGGGATCAAAAGTAAAGAACTATATTCTGTCCATTAAGTCATAAAATAAGGGTTTAACAAGAAGAAGACAAAACAAGGCAGAAGCAGGAGACCCACAGGCTGAGGAGAGTGGTCTGTGCAGAAATGAGGATGTGAATAACCAGAGCTCCGCGGCCAGGGGGACATCTAAGTCCAGGGTAGCTAGCTGGTCAGGCTTGTTTTCATTTGTACAACTTTTGTAGGAAACAGCTGCTAGAACGTTGCCCAAGGCGTTTGCCCATGAAACAGATCATTTGCACATGGTTGTCCGTCATGTTGGTTCTTGCTCGGCCCCCCTCCACCGTGTCCCTCTCTTCCCCCAGCCCCATCGGGCACAGTGCCCACAACGTGCATACGCGCTGGGGGAGATGCTGGCCCTCACCCTGAGGTGACACTCAGAGTGGACAGCTGGTGGCCAAGATCTCAGGGTGCCTTGGAGACGTGAGCACAGCGCCCAGCTCAGTCTCGGAGGCCGGGGAGGTGTCAGCGAAGAATCGTCAGCGGAATTCCTGAAGCCCGGGTGGCGGTTGGCCCAGGAGCAATGGGATTGGCAGTCCAGGCAGAGACAGTGAGACACACGGCCTGAGAGCAGGAGGCCGCGGGCTGGCTGTGCACCTGGGAGGCCAGTGAGTCTCCTCCCCACCACAACTCTCAGGGCGTGGGAGGGGAGGTTGCCCCCAGGACCCACCAAGTCCCCGCTCCCTGTAAGTCACTCAGACTGAAGCGGGGAGTTTCAGGCTGCAGGGCTGGGGGGGAGGCTTTATCTTTTTCCTTGTCCACTCACAGGGCCCCACAAGCAGCCACGCCTCCTTCGTACCAGAGCAGGCTTCCTCTTTCCCTGTTACCACCGGGTCTTCTGCTCAGAACCTGGTCTCTTACGTTTGTCCAGTGTGGTGCCTTCGGTTGCATTTTCACCAGTCTTAGGGAAGGCGCTGACCTCCGCCCCTGTGCCCTGCTTGTCTGCAGGAGCCACCCCCATGCCCCACACTGCCTCGAGGGTGTTTAATTTCCTTACCAGGCCTGCCCCCACTGGGCACCATCCTTCAAGGCCCCACACTGAGTGTTTTTGGCTCTGTCTCTTCTCTCTGTGGTGCTCAGTGTGTGGCTGGACGTCAGGGTCAGTGTTCACTGGGGTGAGGGCCCCCCACTGTTCCTGTTGGAGGGGTTCCGTTTTGGTCTCGGAGCGAACAGAAGTCCCTGTGCTGCGTCTGGACTCAACAGGAGAGGCCACAAGGGAAAAAATGGAAGTTAAATTTTTCTGCAATGCAGTGATTTTCAGCTTTGTTGAGGTATAACTGACAAAATTGTCAGGTATGCGGCTATAGCATCTTACACCATCTGCCAGTTCACATTTTTATGATAACGTCTACTTAGTTCTTCCTGACCCCGTAACTGATAAATGTGAAGAAGTCAGCGGTGGCGTTCAATTTGGAACCTGGCAGGAGAAACAAAACAGAGCAGAAGGAAACGGTTTTGAACTTGAGCAACACTGCCGTTGACAAGTGCTGTGGGTCATGGGTACGTGGGCACCTCACGTCCTCACGCGATGCGCTGCCTTGGCCCCGGAACTGGCAGGAGCTGGGTCAGGGTCCTCGTCCCTGGTTGGGGGCGCGGGTCTTTTCTTTGTGTTTTTTTAAGCTGTTAACATTATTTTCATTGTTCCAGTTATTTTTTAATTATAGGAAGGAATATACAGATAAAATAATGATTTTTGAAAATAATGATTTTCAAAATCAAATACATTTCAAAAAATAATAATGGTTATAAAAACCCCTTTTTTCTCTTTTTGTCCTTTTTAGAAATTTTTATTGTTGAGACTGTTACAGACGTCCCTGTTCCCTGCCCCCACAGCCCCCTTCCACCCAGCCTCCACCCCTCACTTTCTCTTTCTGAATAATGAAAAATGCTTATTTGACCAGGAAATTGAGCCTCTTATTGTTGCTTGTTGTTGTGTATTCTATCAGTACTGACAAGTGTTTTCAGAGATCTTGGCCAGCTGGCAGATGGGGGCACAGAGACGTTCTTCGTGCCCATTCCATCTGTCGTGGGAATGGGCTCGGAGCAGCCCGCAGGCCTGTTCCTGGTGGGTGGGGGCCCCTTTCAGAGGTGGGCTGTGCTTTGCGGTCACTCCCCTGGCCGTGGCTGTGAGTCTTAGGCATTGCTGCTGTTCCCAAGCATCTGTTCTAAGTGGACAGTGGCACTGGCAGCGTGGCAGAGAGAGAGGATGAGGCGGAGCCGTGGGGAGCAGGCACATGGGGCGAAGCTCAGCTGGCTCCGAGAACCTCGGCGTGAACCCCAGGGTCCCAGGCTGGACCTCAAAGACAAAGTTGGGCGACACCCGTTGAGCTAGAGGAAGGGGGTCGTGTGGGAGGAACCGTTTCAGACTGGTTCACACCCACAGGACACTCAGGAGGTGACAGATTTATCTCAGCCTTTGTGAGTAAAAACTGAAGAGGGCAGAGCTCAGACCCCAGGCCTGGCCGGGCCCTGGCGTGTGGCTCCCTCTTCGCCGCCCTGAGCACGAGAAGCTGTGGGGACGGTGGGAGAGCCTCGGGAACACTCGCGTTCCACGGAAGGCAAGTCTCGGGCCTGCCCTTTCTTCAGGGTTTGTGTTCTGGAAAGTCACAGAGGAATCCAGGTCTTTGTTCCTATTCGGACACAATATCAGAAGTTTTCCCACGACAGTGAGGCTGTCCCAACGTGTCACTTAAATGCTTCTATTTTAAACAGCATAATAATCTGTAGAGCAGACCGCTGTCACTGAGAGGGACCAGTCTGCTTCAGTGTCACCCTGCCGTGTCCTTCAGTAGGCTGCTGCTAAGCTTTAATCTGATGGGACAGGGTGGAGGCTTCACAGTGCAGACGCGGCTGGAGGGAGAGGGGAAGCGCTGGCCACCGAAACCATCTGTCACCCCCGCACTGTGTCTTCGGGGACCCTGGTAGCAGATGTGCGGCCACCGCTCCCCATGACGATAAGCGGGTCTGGGAAGGACAGTCAGTGGGGTGACAGGTGTGACACTCCTCTGTGGTTGGTGGCTTCTGCCTGTTTTACACTTTCTGTAATGCGAACCTTGTGGAGAATAGGTGTTTTTCCACTGGTATTGTTTTTACACTTTTTAATTGATTAATACTTGATATTTTTATTACTTATTTGCTTCCAGTGTTGGCCCTCGGTGGGGGTTCCTTCCCTCTGCAGCCTGTCCAGTGCTGGGGCGAGGCATCCAGCTGGCGTGGCTCACTGGGCACAGCTCACTACCCTCTGAGCCCGCAGACCTGCCTCTTCCAACGCACCCCCCTCTGGGCTGCCCCGCCCTCGTCTTACCCTGTTGTAAATAAGCCGCAGGAATGGGAAGGGCAGCAGGGTGGTGTGTAAGCTTCGCAGAGGGCGTTGGGGCTCTGAGGAGTGCATTTGCAGGATCGGACGCCGGAGAGCCTGCCCAGCTGCATCAGATGAACTCAGGTGTCTGAAACAGGCAGGCCCCCCAGCTCCAGGGCCCCCCAGCTCCAGGACGGCGGCCATGCGATTGGTAGTCTTGGTGCCTCATTTGACCAGCAGATGTAGGACGTTAATATGCGTCCTAACATGGAATTGCAGAGTAATTTTTTAACAATAAGTGTGAACTAGAGGAATAATCTATTTATTCTCATTGTTATTTTAGCCATTTAAACTTCCAAATACAAGCCAAAAGTGAGCTTTTCAGATTTCCCTTAGACACTTGCTAAGAAATACAGTATATGTTCAAGCCTGCTCGTGTTTCAGCAGGGCTGCCTGGTGACTGAACACCTGGTGACCGAACAGAAGGCTGGTTTCACTTCCTGACTTACCCCAAGCAAAACCCGCCTCCTGCAGAGTGGTGGGCACATTGGGGTTTCCTTGTCTGCCCTTTCTCCCTCCTCTCGTCTCCAGTCCACAGTGGGTGCCACAGTCTTCTCTGTTTCTGACAGTCTGTCATCAGAATTCTTCACTTATAACTTGCGTCGCAGGAGCGTCTGTCTCCGTGTGCAGACGAGGACTCAGACTCACTGTGACGTCCTTTGAAGGCATCTTCAAAGCTCTGCTGCCGCCCGCTACTTGACATGAAAGACTTAATTGACTTGATTTATCTTCACTTGAGAAAATGGTTTGTTTGTTTTTCCCTTCTCCCTTTAGTTGCTGATCATCTTGGCTGTGATCCTCAAACCCGGTTCTTCGTCCCCCCGAACATCAAACAGTGGATCGCCTTGCTGCAGAGGGGAAACTGCACGTTCAAAGAGAAGATATCGCGGGCTGCTTTCCACAATGCTGCTGCTGTGGTCATCTACAACAACAAGTCCAAGGAGGAGCCAGTCACCATGACTCACCCAGGTAAACAGGCTCGGCTGTAGGCTCTTTTCTCCTCCCAGACACCCCTGCCTCGCAGGCAGGCGTCCCCCTCCCCGAAAGCCACATCGTTTTCCACGTCATTCTGTGACTGGATCTTTGGTATCACCATTGGTTTGTCTTTTCCCCTTAGTTGAATCTTTTTCTTAAATAATAACCGTAAGAGCCTATAAACCTTGTGCTTGTTAAGAAACTGGCTGTGATTGAATTTATAGTCCTACGTTTCACTTGGTAACCTTGGAAAATAACACATTACATGTGGAATCATTCATCCGGATATGCCATGGGTCCTCAAGGCTTAACTGTTCGACAAGATTCTTTTGTCAGAATCCATGTTGAAATGGACTGTTATTAACAGTAGAAACAATATTATTAATTTCTTGAAGAAGCATTTAGGATGTTTCTAATGTAACTGTTTTAGTAACCATAGTTGCAATTTATTGAGCACTGACTATATATGCCAGGCACTATGATACGAGCTTTTTCTGGTTTTTGTTTTTTAATGGACTTTATTTTTAGAGTAATTTTAGCAATAGGAAATGGCTTTATGTTATTAGGTACATCAAAAATTAGAATAACATGGTAGAGTAAATTGGCGCTATACTTTGGAAAGAAATTTGGCACCACCTGATACCGTTAATGACCTCACACGTCGCAGTTTAGTCATTTCACGCCGAGGCACACACTCTGGAACACTCCCCAGACTTCAGCTCGCGTGCAGATCGCCTGGGAATCCCGCTACAGTGCACACTCTGGTTCGGTGGGTTTGGGCTGCAGCGGAGGTTCTGTGTTTTCTGTGAGTTTCCAGGCGGCGCTAATGGCGGCTTCTTTGGCCCCAGATCCTGCTTTGAAAGGGAAGAAGACAGACAGGAAGCACAGATCTCAATCCCAGGTCCCCTGCCTCCTCTGTGACTCTGACTCTGACTCTGACTCTGACTCTGACTCTGACTCTGACTCTGTGGCAGGCAGTGAGCCCCTGCTCTGCAGAGCCACTGAGGGAGACCTTTGTGTGCAGAGAGTCTCACTGTCTCGGACCGTCTGAGTCACAGCCGCGGTCGCCCTTTCTCTCACACAGCAGCGCTGTCCACCTGAGGGTCAGGGACCCTGGCATCGGAGCCACAGCCCCGCCCACCCTGCCCCTCCAGGGGGTGGACCCAGAGGTCCTGGTTAGCGCTCCCTTGCTCATGTCACTTCAGTCTGCCTTCACCTGAGGAGAAAGGCCTCTATGCTGCGCAGTCTCACATGAGCTCGTGGGAATGGGGAACTGTTGAGAACAGCCCATGGCTCATGCCCTCCATGAGCGTGCCCCCCACAGTGCTCACACAGCACGCCCTGCGGGGAGGTCAGTGTGCTTAGGTGGGCGGCGCCCCACCACAGGGCAGAGTATTGCATATGTCTCCAAATTACTCTGCGTAGATGACTCATCCCTTCTCCACTTACAAATGTGTTCAGTCATTTATTTACTCGTATATGTAGACTGACGGACACGCGTTGGATACTGTATCATAATGGGGTGCAACTGTGTCTTGTCACTCAGATAGTTCCAGCTTTGGCCACTGGGGGCTCTTTCCATTGGTGGCTCTGCCCTTTGCTCGGCCCTCAGCTCCTGGGGTGTCAGTTGGCAGGGTGTGCCGCCTTTTGAGCACAGCCCGCACTTTCTGGTGCTGCGCCTGTAGGTCCTGCCCTGGCACTGGGGTCAGTCCTCCCTGCAGGGAACCGTGGCTGCTGTTCATGGAGAGCGAGTGTTACTAGAAATCAGGACCTGGGCGTTGGGAGTCTTTTACTGATCCAGGTTTTGTTTCCTCTGGGCCCTCTCTGCTGATTGAGCAAGGAGATGCATGTGTGTACGCTGGCCCCTGGGGGTGCCCTGCCTGTGACTGCTCCTCTGTCACCGTCCCCATCTGGGTTCAGCTGAGAGTGACCCTGCCACAGGGGTCATGTGGCCGCCTCCTTCGGCGTGTTTGGAAGCTGCCACTCCAGCGGTGAGAAGCTGGCCCCTGCCGTCCAGTTCCTTGGGTGTTCCGTTCGCCGAGCTCTCGGGTTCGGAGCCTTTGGCGTGACGACACAGTGTAACGTAATGGCCGTGCGAGCGCTGGTGTCGGTGCGAGAGTGGATGTTGGCGGCTTTCCTCCCCACACGGGCCTTCTCTGTTTGGAATGCCCAACTCTGTACTGAGCCTTCTCTCCCCACCCATTTAAAACTGTTTCATCAGACACTTGTAAGGAAACGTAGATGTATCTTAACTTGAAAATGACACAGCACGAGGTGGGTCTTGGAACCCATATAATGACAAGAAGAAGGATTTCATCAAGTCCGCCTGCAGGTGGGTTCCGAGATCCGTAAGCCACGTTCGTGGAGCCTGAGCCCCCGTAGCCCCAGCAGGCTCGGTCCCACTGCTGGTGCCACTGGCATAGGCCGCAGCTGCTCCAGGTGTGCTGGAGGCTCGGGCCGTGTCCCCGTGAGCATGCCGGTCGGCTGTGCGGGCTGGTAGTCTCGTGGAAGCACAGGGTTCAGTTTGCCGCTTTCGTGTAAGAAAAACATTGAAGAGCTGACATCCAAAAAAGAAGAGGACTGAAAATTGATAAACACTATTTTATCAAAAATAATTTGGCATTGGAGCATCAACTGAATAGTGATAGTAATTATTTCAGCCCATTAAATAAAGCAGGAACCGTGAGCTCGTACAGACCTGAACAGTAAGAGTGCACTGAAGTCTGATGCATCGGCCTTAAAGCCCCTCCTCAGGAGAGGGGCTTCCCGGGGAAGACCCACCTTCACCGAGGCACCAGAGCGAATTTCAGCGCCAGCTCCTTGATTCCTTTTCTTGACGGTGTGGCTAAGCTAGTTGGAGCATAGTCTCATAACTGACAGGTTGCAGGTTCGATTCCTGGTCAGGGCTTATTCCTGGGTTGTGGGTTCAATTTCCAGTTCAGGCATCTATAGGAAGCAACCAGCCAATGCTTCTGTCTCTCCTCAATGTTTCTCTCTCTCCCTTCCTGTCTCCCTTCCCCTCTCTAAAAACAATTTTAAAATGTCCTTGGGTGAGGATTAAAAGAAGTGAACTTCAGCAAGAACGGGATATATAAAAATGTGCCCCCGGCAGTACACACGGGAACGACCACAGCATCGCTGCCACGCGCCCGTGCCCGCGGTGCAGGGCCTGGTGTGGTCACCGAGACTCCAGGTGAATCCAGATGCGGGGGCAGCCTGCACAACACCTGGGCCTAATCTTCAAACATGTTGGTCGCGAGCCCCCAGGAAGTCCCGAGAGGGTGCAGCAGGCGGGCAGACCAGCGAGAGGCTGCGTGGGGCACTGCTGGGGGTCGGCCGCAGCAAGTGGGCGGCTCTCAGAGTAGCCAGCAGGGGGCGTCGGTGGTAATTTCCTGGTGGTTGTGCCCTGTTTGCAAATGACTTGTTTGTGGAGTGTACACTGCTCACTTGGGGCTGATGGGGCAACATGCCATTCACTTACTCTTCAGTGGTTTCAGGAAAAGAGGTTTTTATGTGTTTCCAACTTTTTTGTAAGTATTAGAGACTTTAACAAGGTTGTTTTTTTTTTTTAAAAAAGTGGAACACTAGGAACAGGTGTTACAGAGAAAAGACAGGCGAGTTCCGGGAAGGCGTTTGGCGTCTGAAGCTCTGTGCGGAGGAGGGCTCTCGTGGGCCCGTCAGGCGCAGCTTGGAGTTGGGGTGTTTCTTACACTCAGTGGTGTCTTGCAGTTCACCGAGAGGGTCTTGTCCCTTCATTGTACAGTATGACATGTCTTACAGTGCATGGTATTTCACACCTTGTAAAATACAATTTTTTAAAATTCAGTAGGGCTTCTTCAGAGAAGCGAACCAAGAGCTGTGAGCGGGCATTTGGGAATCGAGACTTTAGTTGCAGCACAGCCCTTCCTCACACTCAGAACCACCCGCGTGGGAACCAGCCGCCCAACAGAGCCAGCAGTGTGTGGGGCTCCTGTGCTAGGGCAGAGGTGGCCTTGGGACTCTGCTGCCCCGCCCCCCTTTCTGTCTCTCGTGGAGGGAGGGAGGGTTTTCTCTTCCACACAGGCCTCTGCTCCGCCCTCTGGGCCTTTTCAGGGTGTGGGGAGATGGACAGGCTGCACGGTGCATGCGCATGGTCAGGAGGCAGCATCAGAAGGAAGGAGCTGGGGCCTGAGCGCGAGCACTGGGCCCTTGTCTGCCCTGGAGGACACCTTGTGCCCTGGGTCGGCCCCGTGACCACAGACCCCGCCGCCGGCTGCAGCATCACCAGACAGCAGGTTGCTGCACGCAGTTCTGTGCAGCCACTTCAGAGGCCCATGGCTTCCCCATGACTGGACCACCCCTTTCGTTCCCATGCCCCACACCTGTGTCCTCTGCACAGCGTCCCTGCCTGGCCCCTCCCTCCTTCCGATGCCTTGACCCTCACTCAGCTCACCCATGGGAATTCCTGCCACCATCTGCCTGCATCAGGGCCGTGGGGGACGGGAGCAGCCTGCCCACCAGGGCCCTCCGTGGGTCCTTCCACTGTCCCCCTGCCTGGGCCCAAAACTGCTTCCTGGGCCTCACAGTCCCCCAGATGGCCGTGGCTTTTGAGTCTCCACTCTGGTGTCCTATTATCTGATCCCTGCGTCCTGCCTTTCCTTTCCCGTCACTTGGCTTTGCGGAAGCGCCCAGCTCCTTGACCTGCATCTCCATGACCCTCCCGACTGCACTCTCCCGCTCTCCAGGAACCTCGTGAGCCGCACCGGATCCCGGGACCACAGCCTCATCTGCTCAGTAAAAGGGTGCTCTGCCATGGCCTGGCCACCTGTGACCTTGGGCTCATCTGGCTCCCGAATGCCTTCAATGCCAGGGTCCACTGTTTGTATTTTCTTTAGCAGACAGAAGGGGCGCACCAAAGGCTTTGACCGGAGGAGCGACTTGATAAAACGTGTGTGTTTGAAAAAGCACCAACAGAGCTCAGCAGGGAGTCCAAATGCTGTGCCCTGTCACTGCCT